GAGGGGGGGCTGGGACCGGGGGTGTGGGACAGGGCCCCCCGGGTGACCCCCCCTGCCCCAGGAGCTGCCCTGCTCAGGGCAGCGCTGCCTGGGCTCGCTGGTGCTGCCACGGCCACTGCTGGCCCCGGTCCCTGAGGGTGCCCGTCCCGCCGAGGAGCTGCTGGGCCTGGCCCGGGACTTCATCACCCAGTACTACCTGTCCCTGCGGAGGTGAGCGGGGGCAGCGGGGCCCCCCCCACATCCCCATCCTTGCCCAGAGCTCCCCACTGTCTGGACCTGCCCTGTTCCAGGGTGCCCCACAGCCCCATCCCTGCCCCAGAGCATCCCTCAGCCCCATCTCTGTCCTGGGGCACCCCACATTCCCATCTCTGCCCCAAAGTACCCCCATAGCCCCCGCCCCAGCCCCGCACAAGATAGATCCCCCAAAGCCCCAGCCCTGCCCGGGGCACCCTGCAACAGTGCAGGGGGTCTTGGCAGGGGAGGAGTGTGCTGAGGTGTGGGGGTGTCCGCAGGGAGAACTCCCCGGCGCACACCCAGCGGCTGCGGGAGGTGGAAGCCGCCATCAGGGCCACTGGCACCTACCAGCTGCTGGAGCCCGAGCTCGTCTTCGGGGCCAAGCAGGCTTGGCGCAACGCCGCGCGCTGCGTGGGACGCATCCAGTGGAACAAGCTGCAGGTGAGGGCAGGGGGCGACCCATGGTGCCAGTGGGGACCCCCCACCTCTGCCCCACAGCTGGGGGTCACCCTGGGACATCTCCCCATGTTCTCCTCTGACCCTGTCCCGCAGGTGTTTGATGCCCGGGACTGTGCCAACGTTGGGGAGATGTTCAGCTTCCTCTGCACCCACATCCAATATGCCACCAACCGCGGCAATATTCGGTGAGAGCCCGGCCCAGCCACCGCGCTTGCTGCTGGCCAGACCCCCCACCCAGGGCAGAACAGCCTGGCCCCCCACAACCAGTGGGGGTGTCGGTGACATCCCACCCTGGCCCCCGCCCCAGGTCGGCCATCACCATCTTCCCCCAGCGGACGCCGGGCCGTGGCGATTTCCGCATCTGGAACACACAGCTGATCCGCTACGCTGGGTACCGGCAGCCTGATGGCTCCGTACTGGGGGACCCAGCCAACGT